GAGTAGCTCCTCAACGTGCTTGAAGTGGGGAGCCCAGAACTGGACACAGTACTCCAGATGAGGCCTCACTAGGGCAGTGTAGAGGGGAAGGAGAACCTCCCTCAACCAATGTAGCGGTCTTAGGCCAATATAGTAAGAAGGAAATAGGCAAGGTTGGATGGAACTCTGAGCAACCCGGTCTAGTTGAAGATATCCCTGCTCACTGCACGGGGGGTTGACTAGATGACGTCTAAAGATCCCTTCCAACCCAAAGCATTCTATGATTCTATGATTTCCTACCATAGAGAAGGGAAAGAAAAAGACCTGTGCAGCACATCCTGAGTAGGAGATGGCCCTGATGTGCCACAGAAAATTGACCATGGCTTTGGGAACAGTGGTGGAGATGGAGCCCAGGTCAAGGAGGCAGATGTTGAGGAAGAAGAAGTACATAGGGGTGTGGAGGCAGTGATCAGAAACTGGCAGTGATGATGAGGCCATTGCACAGGAGGGCAGCCATGTAGATTCCCAGGAAGAGACAGAAGTGCAAGAGCTTCAACACTTGTGTCTGCGAATGCCAGAAGGAGGAACTGGGGAAAGGAACTGCCATAGGACATTTTCTGCCCCTGGGCATGGGGACCTCTGAAAGGAGCAAAAGTCATTGACAATTTGAGGGAGACTTTTCAGAGCAAAACCAAAGTCATTTCGTACAGAACCTCCTGTTGCTACAGACCCCACCTCCCAGTTTTCCTCTTCTGGGACACCTTCATTCAGCGCCATGGATGAAGCTCTGGTTTGGTGTTGGTTGAATTGTCTGTGAAGAGCTGGGCCTCTGTCCAGTGGCTGCTGAGGTGTCAGCCCTGCTCTGCAGCAGTGAGTTCATGGAACAGTGGAAGCAGGGGCCAGTCCTGGTGTGCAGATTTGTCAGATGAGTACACCACAAGACAGAAAGGCTTATCAGCATCTGCACTCCCAGTGCTAAGGAATGAGCATCGCAGAAGGCAGACGAGAAGTTTTTTCAAAAAATATTTCCCCAATTTTATTTGAGGATTGTTTTGGAATGTCACAAAGCCTCAGTATTTCTGTTGTACTCAGGGAGAATAACGCGAGTCCTGCAAGGCAAGAGGATTGCCTTTGGATCAGAGCAGACTGAGGGGAGATGGTCTGTCCCTTTGTGTGAGATGCCCTGCGCTTGCACCTTTCTGAGATTCAGGGCGATCACACTTCTCTGTTTCTGCGAAAAGGCAGCAGACCCTACTGAGAATAGAGGGTTCCACTGCAGATCCCCAAATGTCTCAGTCTTTCTCAAGGTCTGAGCAACCCACTGCTATTCCAGAACACCCATGGCTCGTTCTACAAATCCAACAGCATTTCCTTGGTTATCACAACTCTGTGCTTTATCTGTGGCACCTCTGTGCT